TCTTGTGAAGCTTGGTTTCAGCTTTATCTTTGGAGATTAAACATGATTTTGAAAGCAAGAAATTGTAAAATTCATTTAAGACTGAGTATTGAAAGCCCAAATCTCTTTGAAACCTCTTTGATAACAGTTTTGGATAACAAAGCTTTATCTTTGAAAAATCAAACAGGTTTATCTGTGAAATTGTTTGGTGCTTGGTACTTTATGGTTTCAGCTTTCTCTGTTCTGTTTTTAGCTGTTTTATGTAGCATGGGAATTACTCCTTATAGCACATTCTGTTAACTAAGATGCATGATGAGTCTTACAAGCTGTAAAAGGTCATCTGGTTATTTTTTCAGATGGTGCTGTGATTTCTGTTGATGCTCTTCTTTTTCTTTCAGAAGGAAAAGGTAACACAGACTGTGTTGGGAAAGCCCAGTTTGTGTTCTGGAACACATTTTGTCTTCTAGAATTCACTTGCTGTTGTAAAAGTAACTCGTTTTGGACATAAATGATGTGTAGAACAAAATCTAGATCTCTTGAAGTATAGTCAACTTACCTGTAGATTCATGGTGTTTCTGTAGGAAATACTGTGTGGTGATTTGGAAAGAGCTGCTGCCAAAACATCTGGGTGTTTACTCATCTGTGGCTTAACTTTGTTCAAGTTACTGAAGAAGCAATTTTTTTTCACTGTAGTTAACTCTTGCGATTTTAAACAGTTTACGTTTTGAAGGTTGTACATACCCATCAGTTCTGCATTTCTTTAGGAAGGAGTTGGTCCTGCTCTTGGCCGTTCTTACATCTCTCTGGCTGTAGTGTGTGACTGGATCAGGCTGCTGACCCAGCTGTCTGCGGGGACATGTGACTGTCCTTGTGTGGGAAGGGCCAGGAACGTGTGGAGAGTAGGAGAATACCCTTTTTGTGATCAGATTCCTGTGGGGAAAGCTGATGGTGAGACTGCAGTCTCAGAATTGGTATGTCTTTATCACTCCCTTAAAAACCAATACAGCCCAGAGATATTTTTTTTCGTAAGATGTCAAACTTAGAAGACTTCTGGGAAGAAAAACCCTCAAGACTATTTACAACTGTTATTTCAAAAATAAATTAGTTTAAACAGAAGACCTGTAAGTGTTTTGTGTTCTGGAGTACTGATGTTAATGCTTCATTGCATCTTGGTTATCTCAGGACTGAAACAGTTTCATGGGACTTGTTAGCTATGTGTATGTGATAAGTGTACCCAGGCAGTGAATGTGGGCATTGTGGTGGTTTTTGAGAGGTTCTGAACTTCTGCGTTTCATTAAACTGATACAGTTTACATTATTTACCTCTCTGATATTTTTATGCCTGTTTTTCTGAGGAAATTGAAAGATTGGTTTTACTTTTCTATGATGGTGGAGGGTAAATAAATTACAATGTTTAAATGTAAAACAGGTTAATAAACTTCCTTTTGTAGCTTGGCTTTTCTTTTTGCTTCAGTGGGAAATATATAATGCAGCTATTTTAAAATTTGGGTTATCTTAGTAGTTTAATGCTGTTAAAATTACATGCAGTTTTTGAGGTATCTCAGAAAACAGACTTGACATAGTCACCTCCATCTTTCCTTTGCTTGTAGTGAAGTGTGCATTACAAACTGTTTTCTTCAGCTGATTGGAGAGGTTACCTGCTCCCCTTCCACTTTGCAGCTTATCACATACACTTGTGCTGCTGTAACTGGTTTGAATGCCATTGAAATTATCTGGTTAAATATAGCACCTCCCTCCTGCTCCTGACCCCCTTTTTTAAGGGTTATTTTTAATCAGATCATTCCAGTGATCCAGTTTATAGCATAGCACTGTAAATGACTGTAACAGCACAGCTGAGTGGTCAGGCGTTTTAAAAATCAGTATTGCTTTTGAAGCTGATATCATGTAACTGCTTTTTTTTTTCACTTTAGGGTAACATTTTTGAGGCAATTCAGAGGAGATAAGAAGAATGTTAGTGTGAGGGGAAAGTATCTATTACCATAATAAAGTAACTAAATTTTGGATTCCTGTTAAAATTAAGTCTAGGGCATACTTAAGCAGTGAAAACCACCACCTTCCCCCTGCATCCTCCAGTAGCCTACATGTAGTACTTTCTGCTAAAGAACTCCAAAATACTTTAGGTATCTTGGTGGAAAAAGAGCTGAAGCACAGTGGCTTGCTCTCTGCAGAACTACAGTCTGCTGACGCGTGAGCTGTTTAACAGACAATTTATGTGCTCACTTTGCCACTTGATTTATTTTTTTTTTCTGCTGGTTTAGCTTTTATGCTTCAAGATGTATATCCATGATGAGTGAGGATCAAGTTGTGTGTGGGGGGGTAAAATTAAGAAAATCTTCACTTCTTGCAGACACTGCAGTAGGTTGCTAAGCAGTCATTTTACTGCAGTTACTTTGCAACCCTATTGCTGCTCTTAGATTGCTATTAGTTGACAGTACAGATTAAAAAGAAAGCATTTTGCTTCCTTAATATTTTTTTGTATCGCAACATTTGGATTTCACAGTGTCTTTGGGATGATAGAAAAAATGCTTACTTGACATTTGAAATCTTTGTGATAACATGTAACTAAATACTCATTTGCTTGTCCCTCTGCATTGCAGCTGAAAGGGCTTTCCTTGTTTTGCTGTTGCCTTTCTGATATGAAGTTTTTAAGGAAGAAAAAGTGAAGAAAAGTAACTTCTGATGTTAGAAATAGACATATTACCCTTTGGTTTTTGGTTGATACATTCCTGAATGAGAATGAACAAGACATTTGCATTAGACTTTAAGAATATTTGATAATTTAATTAAAACTAATGCATTGTTTGAATATGCTGTTGCAGTGTGCTTAATGTGAAGGTACCAACCATGCTGAAGTAAAGCTGCATGGAAAACCTATGCAGAAACAATTGTAGTTAGTTAGGATATTTTTGTCTCTTTCCTCTCTTATGCCTTTAGCCACCAAAAAGGATTGTGTTTTGCAACATAATTTTGCAGTACATGTTTTCTTCAACAAAATTTATCTTAGTGGTGGTCTCCTAGAATTTGATGTTCTGGCTGATTTGTTTTACTGTTGGTTTTTATGGGTTTGTGTTGGAAACTCCATCACAGAAATAGTTTTGTTTTTTAAAATGAATTTCTGTAGACACTGTTTAAACTGGCTTATATTAGCAGTCTGTTTACTGTGCTGCTTCACAAACAACTGCATCAGGGTGACCAAGGGAACTGTAATCTGCAGCATGGGTGTAAGTGGCTTGAAAAAGCAGAACTCTTAAGAACTACTTTGTCTGCAAAACCAGTGCATTGGATGTAAGCTACCTTGAGCAGTGGAGGCTTTAGTTCACCTGTCTGGCTTTGCACTGTGGCATTGTGAGCTCTTTAGACTCCCTTCTTGATTTCACAGCTCAGCTACTATCTCTTAAATAATGAAAACTGCTTTTGTGATTGTCTAACCACATTGTAATCTATTCTAAAATTAGTATGTATAAGAGTAAAATTACCTTGTTTCCTGTTGTGGTAGATACCCAATATGCCATATGCTCTTCAGGGGTATTTTTTTGATGTAACTGTGGCTGTTGTGTTTGACAGCTATTACTCTGCTAGTGTCTGTCCCCAGCATTCAATTCCCAGTAATATATTTTTGGAGTGTAGGAAGTTCTTTGACTTTGCCCAAGCCACTATGGGCTCTGGTGGACTGAAAGATGAAGTAGTTAAGTATCAAATCTAACCTCTAGGATTTCTAAAGAAATCAACTGTTGGGGCAAGGTGATGTCAAAAGGACCAAGTCTCCTAAGGGCGATTATGTGTTCAGTAGGTGATGCTGGGCATCCAGTCCTTTGTAACAGGAACTTTCTTGTTAAACTGCTTAACAGACTTTGATCTTTCCAAAAGGTTTGAGATTGAGCATAGAAGTTGAATTAGCTAGAAAAAGATCAGTTAAAAACTTCACCTGGAATGTCCTGAAACAAAAATAATAAAAACCAGACTGACAACAACAAAAAAGCTATCACACTGTGGCAAGTATAAATTCTGAAACAGTGGTTGCATCAGGATTTTAATTATTTTGCTTTCAAAATGAGATGTTTCTGTTTGCATTCCTTTTCATGTTGTTGTTATGCTAGATTGGGAAGATAATTCTTAAGGATTCATTTTAATGGCTTTCTTTTAATAAAGCCAAGGCAAATTTCCTTAGACAGACAAGCATATGTGATAAAGCAAATGGTGAAAACTTGGAGCTTAATAGTTAGGTTGCTTTTACAGACTTTACTTCCTTTCTAAGAACTTTTCTACTTAACTTGTAGAGTTTTTGTCACTTCTGGCATGCATAGGTTTTACCTGCTTTTGCCTAATGTCAGTGTTTTGCATGGTTTTGTATTCAAGCAGATTGGAGAACTGATCCTGCTGAAAATTAAGCTAATGATTCCTTTTTCAGTTTCTCCCCATGAAAAAGAAATCTTCATGCTCTTGAACAAAAATATTTTAGAGCTATTAATATGAATTGTGTTGGTGGGCAATCTTGCACAAAGGATTAGAAACAGTTCTAAGTTCTTGATAACTATCTGAACTGAAGCAAGTACAAAGAAATACAGTTCTGAATCTTAATAGCATTGGCAGTGGTGTTTTGCTGTCATATTTTTGGTGGTGTAGTGATCCAGTGGTAATAAGCTCTGACTCAGAACTGAGTCCAGCTCTTTGTTGTTTGAACTGAAGGAAACATGCATTGAGAGGGCTCTCCCCATTAGGAGGATTATGCGTTTCCTCAGAAATTCAGACTAGTCGTGAAGGTGTATTGTGATAGCCAAATGACATTGTAACACTTGTGTCTTGGGGAAGTATTTACATTTTTTTTTTAACCCAGAAGACAAATTTTCTCAGATGCTGTTTCTGCATGACAGTTGCCTGTTTGTGTAATGTGTTAAAGTCTGTTTACTGTAATATTAAAGTACTTCATTTTGTTAGCACAAGTAGAAAAAATCAGTAACCTGACTTTTGGCTCCTCATAATAGCTTCTTTCTTTCTTTTCAGAGCAAACTTGATGATTACCAGGAACGAATGAACAAGGGAGAACGTCTGAATCAAGATCAACTGGTAAAAAGAAAAATTACTAACCAGATCTCTGCTAAATTGTTTTGTGATCTTGGTGGGGAAGGAAGGGATGAATTTCACTTCTCCTTTCTCCTTGTTAAAAGCTATTTTTTTCTGAACTCTGACTTGGCCTCAGTCTTTTATTGACTAGTACATCTCAATACTTCTGTTAACCAGAAACTGGAAAAATAGGTAGAGGAGCATGTTGTAATGCTTTATGCTTGTTGAGGTTAGGTTGTAAATTAAGCTGTGGTTAGAATTGGCATATGTTATAACCTAGGACTGTTGAAAGAGCTAAATGACATCTTTGAGGTTTCCTGGACATCATCTTTTGCAAAAAAGGTACCCACGGAGAACTTCAGGAGCTTAGTCACTTGATGGTAGCTTGTGAATACTGTGCAGCTTAGAGTTCAGAAGGGCTCTCAAAAAATCTGTGTATATCACAGCTATCAGTGCAGCAGATGTGAGCTGTAGCTAAACTGGATTTACTGGATGTGTGCTGCTTCTTGCCTTGTTGGGGCTGGTTCTTAAAGTAGGTTATTGTAGAGCTTGACTCAAGAGCAGTTTTCCAGTTGTAATAAATATAAAGCAAGTATGAAATTAAATTCAGTTGTGTGATGCAAACAAGCATATTGGTACTTACAGAGATTACCAGATGCTCAATAATCGGCAATATTTTGCTGGTGATTTTTAACATTGAAAAGAGTGAAGGAAAAAAAATGTACCCTGCAACTATTGCAGCTGTTCACAGTTACAAGAATTAGCCTTTTCACTTGATCCTTGTGATCTTTTCATCTGTCTAGGCTTTGTTTTGGTTGTTCTGTGCCAACTGAAAACTGAAATACTACTGATCTGTATCTTTTTGGGTTTTTAATAGCATATTGTGAAAATAAACCATGAGATGTTTTCTGTTTGATGAGCAAGGAAGATAACTGAAATTTAATACTAATGAGGGAAGCTCATGAATTGTGTTTTATGAAGACCACAGGCCCATAAGACATAGACAGGTCTTTTTAGTATTTTGGCTAGTGAAAATAAAAATTTAACATTTTTGCAGTCCCATTTGGGGATGCCGTGACTCACTCAAGAACTAAAACTGTTATAATTTGTTTGTTGGAAGTATGTATTTTGTTCTATTTGTGATGGTTTACTTTTGTTTTGTTTTGTTTTTTTTAAGGATGCAGTGTCAAAATACCAGGAAGTGACAAATAATCTGGAATTTGCTAAAGAGCTGCAAAGGAGTTTTATGGCTCTGAGCCAAGATGTAAGTAAAGAGCAAGTGGTGTAATGTGGGCCATCAGCTGCAAAACCAAACACTTAGGCTTTAAATTTCACCAGTGCAGTAGCCTACTTTATTTACAAAAGATGAAATGCTTATGTTTTCTTGTACGTTTGGCTGTTTTCTTTTCCTCTGTGTACTGGTTTGAGTAAGGTTTTCTGAAGGCTATTCCTAAAAGATTTTTCTGATGGACTACATACATATATGGGAAGAAAAAAAAATTAGTTCTTTTTCGCAAAACATAACTGTTAAAAACAGTGTGATTGCGTAAGAGGCCTGTCATGCAATATTATATACAGCCATTTGCTGCCAATAGTAACATTGTCTTAAAAGCAAACGGATTTCACAGGCTTGTTTCTGTCTTTGGCAAGTGGCTGAGACTTTTCGTTTCTTTATATTTCAACAGGGTATGAAGTCTCAGCAGTTGAAAGAATTGCAGTTCTTCTTTCAAGTTTCTTGCTGTCTTGTTAATTGCAGATGCAGTCTTAAACTACAGTATGGGATGTGATTAATATTATTTTCATAAAGAATAAGTGAATACTAGTAAAACAGATAATCTTTTAGGTTGATATTTTATCAAGGATGTAAAATAATGGTGTCATCAAGAAAAAGTTCTAAAACTCTGATAGACAGTTCCAGTTACATGAACAGCTTTCATTTATTTCTTGTGCCAAGGGTGGCAAACAAAAAGGTGCACCTTAGACCTCAACAGTGTTACTGCAAGGAAGAATTCTGACAAGCTGAAAGCATAACCCATTCTGTAGGACTGGAAGATTCTTAATGCAGTAACACAGAGTTAATGACTTATGGAAAGAGCAGCAACATAGGTAGAATTCATTGTGTAGTTGATGGTAGTGCAGCAGACTGGTCTGACAAGTGTATTTAGTTTGTGAACAGACAATGTGATAACTTGAAGGGCATTAGCATCCTTGCATTTTTAACTGCTTTCTATATTTGATGTGGTTGTAAATTTGAAGGCCTCTACGGCAAACCATTTCTTTGCTTTTCTTGTGTCAGGGTTCCATGTATGTTTGTCAGTGATGAAAAAGTTTTTTCTTCTGCCAAGTTTGTCCTGAAATATTTCCCTGGTCAGCTGACCACTCAAAAGCAAGTGAATCCATGAATAATAAATTGGAGCTCTACTTTCAAACTTGGTTGCAGTTTTTCCTCATTGGAGATAGTTCTCATACAGTTGATTTTAAGATAAATCTTTTATTTTAAAAAAGAAATTTAGATGCCTCAGAGAGAGAAGGTTACTGTCACAGGTTACATTTTTTGTAAAATTTTAAAGCTTTATATAGTTACAAAGTAAGCAAGCTGAATTTTGGATGCTAGATGGTTGGATTAAGAATAAGAATGGAAGAAACATCCTGTAGGTTCAGACTAGTGATGCATTTAGACCAGTGTTATGACAGCAGTTATAGAAGGTACCATGTAGAGTACAAGACTGATTGTTATCTGTTCCCTTCCTGCATCTGTGATCCTCAAAACTAAGAATGTTAGACTGTAGGTGCATTTCTGTTTCCTTCAGTGTCTGTCTGTGCCTTCATGTCCAAGAATGTGTTTAAATCCTCTTTGAACTTGCTAATGACAAAACATTCCATTAATTTACCTGTTGTGGTGTGTAAGCAATGAGTACTTCTGTGTATCGGTTTTAAGCTGATCTCCAACCAGTTTTGGTGAATGCCTCCTCCTGATATGGTGAATAACCACTCTGTCCGTGTTATCTGCTGGCCTTTGTGGCCTTTATGAAAAATCTGGATCACCCTTACTCCTCCAAATTGAAGAACTCAAGACTTAAGCTCTGCTCATAAGGCAGCTGCTCTATCCCCTTCATCAGCTGAGTTGCCCTTCTCTGTACCTTTTCTAATTGCTCTAAGTCCTTACTGAATTAATGGTAGCCAGAAGTTGTAACTGGCCACAATACTTGTTTAAAAGGTACCTAATGTTGTACATTTTTGACACTTCCATGTAGATCAAGATAACTTAATGTTAACTGCTTCCTTTGTGAATTATTCTGTAAATAGCAGGATGGGCTTATTTCATATAACGCATCTGTATCTAAAGCTTTAGACATGGTAACTGCACTTACTTGACTGAACTACTTGTACATCACGCAGAAAAGTTCAGATTTCAAGTAAGAATATGATTAAGATTCAATAAGATCCAAAGTCTGTGGCATTGATTTGAAAGTTTGTTTTAATTTGCAGGCTTTTGATGGCTTAAAAGATATTCTTCAAATTTCACAGGTTATTTTGCTGTAATGTTAGATTGATAAGTGGCAGTTTGATGCCAAGGTCTGTCTCTATTTATCATTAAAAGACATTTCAAATTTATTTTTTTCCCCAAGTTCACTACAGAATCCAAGTTCAAGGAATTTAAAATCTCTTTTTGTTTTAAACAGATCCAGAAAACAATAAAAAAGACAGCTCGCAGGGAGCAACTGATGCGAGAAGAAGCTGAGCAGAAGCGTTTAAAGACTGTACTAGAGCTCCAGTTTATTTTGGACAAGTTGGGTGATGATGAAGTACGCAATGACTTGAAACAAGGATCAAATGGAGTACCAGTACTGACAGAGGAGGAGCTGACAATGCTGGACGAGTTTTACAAGCTAGTGTACCCTGAACGAGATATGAACATGAGGTAGGCTTACAGCAAAGTACTTGAGAACTTTTCTTTACAATTGTCAGTCAGTTAACAATGTATTTGCGCTGTGGCCAGTTAAGGACTTGGTAAGAAATTAACTCCTATTAATTTTTTTCAGATTGAATGAGCAGTACGAGCAAGCATCTGTTCACCTGTGGGACTTACTGGAAGGGAAGGAAAAACCAGTTTGTGGAACAACCTGTAAGTGTGGTCTCTGGATTAAGAGACAGCATACTGAATTTGTGCTTGAACTGAAATAGTGTCTTGATACGAGATAACTTAGGCAGTTAATTATTTTTGTGAGTTTTTAGAGTAGCTTTTTTTTTTTTTCTTCAGACTGTAGCTGGATTGTAGCAGAATAACTTACTGAAATGTGAACTTACTGTGTGGTGAGGTTTTTTTGTTTTGCTTTTGTTTTTTTAGTGATTCAGCTCTACTCTGTATTTAAGCTTGGTCTGTTTGCTGTTTCAGCAGTATTGTGCTGCTGTTGGTGCTTAGTAGCAATTCTTTGTTTTCTGGAAATGTGTGTGTGAGAAAGGAGCTTTGTTAATCATAAACCTAATGCATAAACTAGCATGGTCTTACTTGGTGTGATGTTCTGCTCCACCTTGTCTCCTGCAAAGAGCATTCTGGTTTTGCCCTATTTTGGTTTATTAACTCTGTAAGGCAGGGTGTAATCCATCTGTAATGCAGATGGACTGCTTTCTTGCCAAAATAAAAATCTTCACAAATACCTACCTTCTAACATTAGACCTTAAGTAAATGGCTCTGCTAGGCAGTTGTCTGTTTTCAGTAACATGGAGAATTTTTGGTCTCTCTTAATTGGAAATCAGTAGGGAAGATAACCCTTTTTTTGTAGGTAAAATGGCTATCAGTTTTAACCTTTTTTTTTTAAAAAAAATCAATTATCCTTATTATATTAAAGGAATATGGAACTGTTGGAAGAGGTTTTTGCGTTCTGTTCATAGAAAGTGAAATTATAGTATTGCAATTGTTGTCTAACCTGCTTTATTTAGGAATGATACACAGGACATTGTAGGATATTGTGGCCTCAGTGGTAATAAGATTTTTTCTTGTTTTGGGTAGAATAAGAAGCTTAAAATTGTTTATATTGTTGAAATCAAATTTTGTGAGTAGGTACCAGGTTAGTATTCTTTTTAATTCATAGTTGTTCTGCAAGAACTCCAGGCTGAAATGGTTGTGATGTTGGATCTTTGTCAGAGCCCAAAGATGTGCACCACATGCTTACCACTTGCCAGCCATGCATTGTGAATTGTCCCTTTTGAGTATTTTTGTTTTCTGGTTGGCCTAGACAATCAGTAATGCTGCCTGGCCAATGTGGCTGATTGTTTTGTGTTAAGATGTCACAGCGTTCATCTGAGGCACTGAGTGCAAGCTTGTGCTTGTTTTGCTTACAAAGGCTGTTCTGAGCCACTTTGCCTCAGGGGATGAACCTTCATGAAGTTTACCTGTGTAAATTTGTACTGACAGTTGTTTTGTAAGAAATTGACTTACAGTAAAGTTTTTTTGATTAGAAAGTTACAAATATATCAGTTACAGTTGAAACTTCAGTGAGTCCCTAAAACTGTCCAAATGAAAAACTAATCAGCCAGAGATTTTTGAAATAGCAGGAATAAAAGTATGGTAATTAAAATCATAAGTCTTATCTCACTTTGAAGTGTTTCACAAATCTCCTGAGGAGTATTATATGTTCTTATCATTCTCCTTGCCCTTCAGATTTTTCTGAACGGTAGTTTATTATTTATTGATGTATTTAATATGACCTAATAAGTCAGGAATAATTCTAGCTTGTGGCAGCAACATCTTCCTAGCAAAAGAGTAATATAATTTATGTGGGATCATTGGAAAGGAAGAAGAAGATTATTAGGATTGAGTTACTGTTAATCTTTAACTTCTTCCATTTTCCTAGATAAAATGCTAAAGGAGATTGTTGAACGTATTCTTCAAACTAGTTACTTTGATAGCACCCATAACCATCAGAATGGATTATGTGAGGAAGAAGAGGCAGCACCCGCACCTGCAGTAGAAGACACTGTAGCAGAAGCTGGTATGAATAAGAAGATCCCTTGTGACTAGTGTATTCATTTGTGTTGTACTATCTTTGGGTTGATCATAGTGATTAAATTGCAAATACAGTTTTAAGCGCAAAAAAACTCCTCCTGTTTCTTAATTCTTCAGGTGTACTGGTGTTTTGAATAGAAATAGTATTTCTTGGTAATCAGGTGTACATCCAGCCAGGCAGCATATGGCACAGTCAGCCATTTGTTCAGCCCTGCTCTGAGCCATAAGGAAAGAAAAGCAGAGCTGTGTTCCCAGAAGAGTTCTGTAAGGGTGACTCTTGCCAGCTGCTTCTTTGGAGGGACTGTAATCTTTCCTAGTGATCACATCGTAAATGTTTTCCGTCGTGGGCAAGGAGAGGCTTGCTCTTCTAACTGTGGAGCGTCAGCTGAATGAAGGAACAAAGTCACTTAGTAGTACTTGTTTTTGAGCGTTTGTCCATAGGTCACTTGCTGAAATAAGAACACAGACTAACGAGTTATTTAGAAGCAGGTTTATGACAATGAAAATTATTACCAAACGTTTCTTTCGTATTCTGCTTTCCTGTAGAATTTCTTACTGAAGTGATAAACAAAGTTACATTTGTCTGTAGTATTGCAATGATCAGAGATTGAAGTTCTGGTTGCCTTAGGCTTTTCCATTTTTCAGTGGTTCCACCAATTCAATTTTAGAAGGGAAGAATTTTTGAAGCAAATGCATGCTTACTTTTGAAGCGTAAGTATGCTTACATACTTAAAAAACTCAAAAATATGGTACCAAACTTGAAGAGAAAATTAATTTCTTTTTTTTTTCCCCTTTTGAATATGTTGTGGAGAAAATTAAAGTTTGGGGTAATGAAACATAAATCTTCATAGCAGGAATTTAATGTGATTTTTAGAAATTTTATTTCAAAACTGAAAATCCTTGTTATTGATTAATTCTCTGTTAGCTCAGTTCTCTGTCCGGTCATTTTTATTTTACTCATTCTGCGACACCAGTTTCTTTACCTTGTAACATTAGGGTTTTTTTCTGAACTCGCCAGATACTTTAAGGAAGTATTACTATTACTGCACAGAAAGCAGAGCTAGGTATAAGAATAAATGGACACACATTTACTCCTGAATCACAATACCATCTAATAGTGGAAGCTCGCTATATAGTTAAGGAATGAGTTGCTTGGAATTAGAGCCTCAATAGAGCCTCAATATTGCTGACTTGTAGAATTAAGTGTTTTTCATAAATGACTGCTGCAAAAATGTGTCACACTTCTTCAAAATTCCACTTTTACTGGGGGAGATTTTTTCATCTAACTTTGTATCTTATAGGTCTGTAACATGGTTTTGGGGGTTTTTTGGTTTTGTTTGTTTTTTTGTTGTGGTTTGTTGGTTTGGGTTTGTTTTTTTTTTTTCACATAAATGGTGTATTTTTCTTACAGAACCTGATCCGGCAGAAGAATTTACTGAACCAACTGAAGTTGAATCAACTGAGGTATTAGTCACTGGAAAGACTGTCATTTTGTATAGCTTTAATGTCACTTACTTTTACTTTCATACCCTTTCTTATTTTTATTTTAGTATGTAAACAGACAATTCATGGCAGAGACTCAGTTCAGCAGTAGTGAGAAGGAACAGGTAGATGAGTGGACAGTTGAAACGGTTGAGGTAAGATCTTGTGTACTGCAGGTAAAATTGCAATCCCTGTTTCCACTGACTCTCAATTCGTGATAGGTTTTAGTATTGCACCCCTTCTACCCTAATATATTCAAAAATACATATATTTAAGTAGGCTTGGACTTGCTATTCATTCTTCAGTTAAAGAATGCTACTCATTCTTCAGTTAAAATTTAGCTCAGGAGCTAAAATAAAAGTAAGATACGACAAAGAAAAAGAAAAACTACAGTCTGGCTGAGTTTGCAGAGAACTTGCTTTTGTTCAATAGTGGCTTGCTTGGGAAAATGAGGCTTAAAAGTCTTAGGTTTAAAAGGACTTAAAGATTTTTTGGAAGACTTTTTGTAGAAGAATAGTACTGCAATGTAGAACTTAAGTTTATTCACATAGCTGCTGACAGCATGGCGTAGTTGTGTGTTTTATTGAGTAGTTCCATGGAGAGGGAGCTGAAAATTAGTATCAACTGGTGTCTACTGCAGATTGCATATGCACGTAATTTGATGTTAAAACATGCCTGTATGTACATCTCTGCTTTCAAGAACTGTAATTCTTCAAGTGCTTAACTTGTTAATACTTTGCAGTTGAGTGATTGTTCACTTGTGATGTTTGTGGCACACTGCTGTTAGGATCCATTCCCAGTTTAGTAATTTAGACTAGACTTAAGTACAAATCCATTTTATTACACTAGAATTTGTGTTTCTTACGTACTGGAAAGGGCAAGTTGTGTGGAGTCATTCAAATGTTTGATGTGTTGTAACTTAGGTTGTATCCATCTGTTAGGAATAGGTATAAGCACCTTTCAAGTGCTGGAGACTTAATTTTCTATTCACCTTAAGCCTCCTGCAGCAGAAAATTACAGATGATCAATTTTTTAGACTCTTACTTGATGTCTTCAGGCTCTATTAAGTGTAGGAGTAGACTAAGTGTTTATCATCTCTTCAAGTGGTTGAAAAGTAGAGGAGGCATTTTGATATGATTATCTAATCTGCCTGATTTTTACATTCGGTCTCACTGAAATCCATATCTTACGGTGTTGAAGACCACTAAAAGATTTAATAGTACTTGGGACGAATGTGAGGCTTCTATAACAAACTAGACAACTTTGCCATATATGTGAATGATTTTGGTAGTCTCTTGTAATATTCCATTCCCTTACTTAAAACCCCCTAAACTGTCATTAGTATTTAATATGGTTAAAAAAATCTCTTTATAAACAAAAGAAACCCTCCAAAAACACACATTAAAGTCGCGCATGATAGGGGTATTCTTACAAGACAGAGTATTTAAAGTTAATACTTAATAGGCTTCAGTCTATCTGAATAGCCAATATAGCCAAATTCCTATATGTTTATATCAAATGTCCAGAGTAGCTTAGAGGTTCTGTTCTATGTAGGTTTTTTTTTATGTAAGTAGTATGGATGAAGATATGAGAGTATAGGAAATGTCCTCGTGATTGAATGTGCTTCCCTCTGCTCTTAAGCTGTAAGGCATGGTTGAAAACTCGGATGCTTCCTTGTGGGAATAACAGTAATAACAATAATATGGAGTAACTGTATTAGTATGGTTAAGTAATTCAGGTTATGGTTTTGTATCAGACTGATTTCAGAATCTCTTAAGTTTCCACGTGTGTTTACTAGTCAGCTAAATCTGGATTATATAAAATTTGTTTTCACATAACAATACAATACAGAGTATATATTTCAGTTGTCCTTTCTGGCCTAATTTCTTGGACTCTAGAGATGAGCAATTTGGAAAAATTTAGAGTTGAAGACTGCTTCGTAACTAAGAGCCTTATTTTCTCAGATTTAACACAAAAGGAGGAAGTTGAGAATAACTCTGAAATTACTCTTGCTGTTCTTTCTGGCACCAGAATCCCATTGCTCATGGGAATGCAACTGAATTGTCCTTGAGAAAGATGATTATACACTTGTGTAGAGCTTTTGTTCTCTTCAGCTCAAGGTAGTTGTGGCATTAGTATAGTGAGAGCTGTGAATGGTAGATGCTAAATTTGGAAACTGGTAGTATTCTGAAAGAGAGCATTTATGCAGAAAACTTAGGTTATTTTTATGAGGAGGAAGACTATCACAAACTTGTCTCTTTTCAAGTAACCCTTGAGTAGATGTGATACCTTCAGTATTTCTATGGTGTATGTTTATAATTTGAGAAGTGATGGTGTCTCACAATGACACTTCTGTATGGGCGTTCTGTAAGTTTTAAACTAAAGAATTAACTTGTGTGTTCTCAAATTGTATTTCTATTATATGATGTTGTCATTTTGGTGAATATGATATTTATTGGTAATAGTGGGGGGTTTGTTTGGTGCGGGGGCATTACTGTTTTGGTTTTGGGGGGGTCTTGGTGGTGGTGAAGTTTTTTGTTTCATTTTGTTTCTTAACTGCGTCCTTTGTGATAAGAATCTGAATCTGCTTGTATACAGAATTTTCTGTCTTAGATTATGGAACTTCGGTTGTATGGCTGTTTGTGTAGATTTGGAAGCTGTTATGTGGCTACCAGAATACAGGTTCATTCTGATAGAGTTGTGGTCTCATTAAACTTCTGTGTTTACCTTTCCTTCTTTCCTCCTTTGCTGCCTGGCCTTCTCTGCCCAGTCATTCTCCTCCAGTTGTGTCTGGGTAGCTCTGCCTACTGAGGAGGTCAAGCAGCAGGGTGTCAGTAGACAGGGTGTCAGAAGGTGAGCGTGCATTTGCTGAGTCAAATACTATTCTGCAGAGAGGTTCAGCTCTTCTAAAAGAAAAGTTTCACCTAGCTGCTGTGCCCGTAATTTGCTTTTTGAATAGTCTCTTCCTTTTTCATGCAGCAGACTGTTGGAAAGCTGTTAACTTTAGAACTACAGCCTGTCCACTGAAAACCTAATATGCAAAACTTGATTATATTTTTATTTTTTTTTAGTAGTTTCATCCTACTACAATTATAATAGGTCTAAGTACCTGGTAGTGATAATAAGACTGAAGGAAAAGGCCCTAAACAGTTTATTTTTACATTAAAAAGGAGGTTTGAGAAAGAGACTGTAAAATATTAAGCACCCTCTGAAGGTAGTACTTTATTATTTGTGAAAAAGGAAAACGTTTGATAAAATTTTGTCCCTGTTCTGTGTTCTTGATTATTCCATCAGCTTGTATTTGCTTTAAGATACCAAATCGCTATGAATGACTTGGACTTCGTAAGTTGAGTGATAGTACTCAATTGAGAGAGTTTTGGTAATAATTATGTAAGAGATGAGTAGCTGCTGATTTTATCTTGAGTTTCACTTAGTCATCTGGCTTGCTTTTTTTTTCATTAATTTTAAAACTGTAATGTACAAGAGGTCTGGATATGTGCTCTAAATAACATTTTCAAAATTATTTCATATTTTTTTCCACTCACAGGGCTTAACTCTTAATTTGGAAACAGTCCATAAATGGGAGTTTGGGGACTGTGCAGTATAGCAGAGCAGTTTTGCTTGTTCTCCATTGTGGACAGCTTTAGGGTATTCTTCCATGGGAATTGTCAAATCGCTTCTCTTTGAATGGCTAATAGTGGAGACTTGGATCTGAGGGGAATCTTGAAGAGGAAAGTAGGTTGTGGATTTTTAGTTTTGCTTAGAGATTTTATTCTTATTATTTTAAATTTTGTTAGAGATGTTTAGGCATCTGGTCAAGGAAAGAGTCACTGGAGTTTGTAAGGCAATTGCATGTGCAGAATGTCACATAGAAACAGTATTTGTATATCTGAGCTGAGGAGTAGGCAATACTGGAAGATGCTGTAGGTTTTGAGAAGTTTAAAAAAAAATTACAAGCTTTGATGGTAGGAGTTCAAGTTCAAAGTTCAGACCTGTGATTATGGAAATGTCATGAGTGTCACTTGTCATGAGTACTGTACAAAACTGTCTAATTGCAGTTCTAATAACAGATATTTTACATAAATATTTTGAACTTTCAGGTGCATGTATGCTGATTTTTATCCTTTGCAGCTGTAAGTTTGAGGCTTACCTGTTCATCTGGAAGTATATTAATAGTGAAAAGCTCTTGGGAATAGACAAATGATAGACAAGATATTGACAATGATCTTCTTTTTAAAAGAGAGTTGTTGATGTGAATGCAAATTGAAAATGGCATTTCTGTGTTACGGGAGTTGGCTAAAGAGCAAAACTGATTAGGAATGCAAAAGTGCTACTTTTTGCAGCTTGACCATCCTTGTAACTGTCTTTTTTCAAGCTGTTTGATGATGGATTCAGCTTTCCTGGTTGCTCTGCCGTCTTTGATAAAGCAGTATTTGAAAGTGTGTTGCTGTTCGTCGTACCCCTGTTTACGTGTGCCATATTGGAATTTATCTTGGAAATCTGAGCTTTCTTGCTCACACCAAAGTGTGCTTTCTGCTTCTGGGCTTCTTCTGTCCCTCCACAGTGTGTCTTGCAATCTTGCCACTTTTTTCAGGCTGTTTGATGATGGATGCTTTTAGGTGCTCATGTTCAGCTTTCCTGGTTGCTTTGCCATCTTTGATAAAGCAGTATTTGAAAGTGTGTTGCTGTTCGTCGTACCCCTGTTTACGTGTGCCATATTGGAATTTATCTTGGAAATCTGAGCTTTCTTGCTCACACTGAGGTGTGCTTTGTGCTTCTGGGCTTCTTCTGTCCCTCCACAGTCTGTCTTGCAATCTTGCCATCAAGCAATGTTGCCTGCTGTTCTCTGAGACCATAAATCATATAGCTAGGATCACACTTGAGAACTGAGGTCTAGACGTGGCTTTGAAAATTTAAAATTTTGAAGTCTTTAGAAGAACTCACAAATTCTGACTCTACTTACATTTACCAAGAGGATAGGAGAAAAGAATTGTTCTCCATGTGTGTCCACATTTCTGAAACTTACTCTTCCCTGACTTTCTTCAGATTTCCAAATGCTGATAAATTGCTGTCTCAAATCCTGCTCTAAAAAAATCCCCGTAATATTGAACAAATGTTTTGTTAGCACTGTTCTTAACAGGGAGTAGAGTAGATTATAAGAAAATAGAACATAGTCTGGACTTTATCATTCTCTTTCTCACTCTTAAGTGCTCAGATGTGTAGCTGGCCACCAGTATTGGCGTGACTGTAGGAGGATGTAGTATTTTTCTTCAATAACACTACAGTAATTACATCCATGATGAATTAGGCAATAGACATAAATTTCAAGAACTACTGAGTCACTTCTGTGCAGTGTTATCTTAAGCTGGAATTTCAGTCAGTTGTTTGTTTCTTTGTTAGGTTGTAAATTCACTGCAGCAACAGACACAAGCTACATCTCCTCCAGTTCCTGAACCTCACACGCTCACTACTGTGGCTCAAGCAGATCCTCTTGTTAGAAGGCAGCGAGTACAGGACCTTATGGCGCAGATGCAGGGCCCATATAACTTTATGCAGGTATGATAAACCCACTGTGGTGCTGTGAGGCTGGAACCAAATGAAATAGCACTTTCTGGCTGTTAGTCATGATATAAAAACTCTGCTGTAGTTTATTTGAAAAATACTATGGTCTTGCAAACTGTATAGTGCTGTGTGGCAAGATCTCTTGGTAACAGAATGCATCAGAAAAAGCCTCTCCTCCTCCACAACGGAGTAGACACCTTGGTAACAAATGAGGCATACATTTCTTTTATTCTTTTTTTGTTTCTTCCTACAAAGTGCTAATTTAGAATAAAGAAGAGTTCACTGCTTATTCTGTCTGACTATTAAAATCTCCCTCCGGTTATGTTTTTGTCAAATAAGCTCTAATATGTATAGACTGAATATGTATGGACTGAATTTTTATTGTGATAAGTACATTTTAGAATTTTTGGTATCTTAATTGATTTAAAATATGTGGTAAAACCAGCAATTGTGTAGCCGTGGACTAAGCTTCCTTTGTTGTGACTTGGTCACTTCTGTACTCTGAACATCAACATTTTTTAAATACAGTAAATTGGATTTTATTTTACTACTTTCATTTTTGTCCCAGGACTCTATGCTGGAGTTTGAGAACCAAACACTTGATCCTGCCATTGTATCTGCACAGCCCATGAATCCAGCACAGAATTTGGACATGCCACAAATGGTTTGCCCTCCAGGTTTGTAATGGTAAATCCTAAACACAAATATCGGGGAAGCCTGCAAGTCATCTAATTAGAAATGCTTCAGTTACTGCTATATAGTAAAGGAATCATTACCTCATCACTGTTGAAGTGTGTGTTTTCTCAGAAATTGGATTGGACTGTTTGTAGACTTCTGCTTCTCATTTGCTTCTAGTTTGTTTTTTTTTTTGAAGTGTGGAACATTTTGGACTTTTTTAAACACAGTTTTGCTTAGCCTTTCGGAAATTGCTGGATTGTAAGTGGACAAAATGTACTTTGCATGGAAATGTTAATTGGTATTTTAAGTATAGCTTTGCCATGTCAAAGGCATAATCATCTTTATGATTATCAGCTCTCAAGTAACTGAATTAGATGATTACACTCTTCTGTAAAAGATTTGATTGTACTGTGTAATAAGTAAAATTCTTTTACTTCAGTTCATGCTGAGTCAAGACTCGCCCAGCCTAGTCAAGTTCCTGTGCAACCAGAAGCTACACAGGTAACATGTTTAGTAAATTTTATTTTGGATTTTAAATTTATTTTAGTCTCAATCTATGTTATAATAGGTTTCAATTCCAAAGAAAAATTAAATTCAAAGAAAAAGTTGAAGCTCTGATTTTGGGAAATCGCTTATCTCCATTGTATCTTCAGCATTATCGCTTGTAAGCATTACTATATACAGCTTTTATTCCATTGGAAATGAACACTTTGCTATTTCTGTATAAGCTTGGAGTTCTCTCATTTAAACTTCTGTATATTTCTCTCTGTCCTTCCCCAGCTTTACTGTAACGGTAGTTTGGGTTGCATAAGGGAATGAGAAGGATGTTCTTCAGTAAAAGCAAATACATGTCCAGATGATTCAGAAATCTTCACAGAATACAATATGGTGGGGGGAGCATGGTGTGGCATGTTAGAATATATGTCAAAATGAGGTGGTTTAACCTGTACTTGTTAAAAAGCACTTAATTTTTAATGGTTTTAAAGATATACTGAAACACATAGTTTTTACTAGAGAGTACTATTCATTCCATTCTCTGATACTTTTTATAAAAGGTCTGAGCATCAGCTGACTTCTGGGGGCTTCGGGTTTATTTTGCCAGGTTCCCTTGGTTTCTTCTACAAGTGAGGGATATACAGCCTCCCAACCCATGTATCAGCCTTCTCACACAACAGAGCAACGGCCACAGAAAGAATCAATTGACCAGATTCAGGCAAGTCACATTTCACAGGGGTGGGAAGGACTGCTTGCAGGTATGATCAAATGTTAGTCGAAGTTTCTTTGTAAATAAAGCTATGTAAATTTTAATTTGGTAGGGTTTCAGTTCCATTTAATTACAAAATTTTTAACCTGCCTGTGACCAATACTTCATAGTAAGACTTTTAACTTACTGGATTGTTCATCAGCATATAAGCATCTGTGCTGTTGGCTTAGGAAATAGAATATATTTTTTTGGCTAGCAGTTAGCCAAGAAACTTGTTCATTTCCCCATTTGTTTTTGTTTCTAGTAGTGTTTCAAGTTTACAAGGGAGAAGACTGCTAGGTTTTTTCCTCTCCTGTTATGCTGTTGTGAATGAGCTTGTTTGGCTGAAGTAGAAAATACTTGTTGATGTGAACCTGAGGCTTTATCACTTTTTTTGGGGGTGAAGTTTTTAAGTTAAATTTTTTTTGTATTCAAAAGCTGCTAAAATGTTGTTTGTTGTAATTATTAGGCTTCAATGTCACTGAATGCAGACCAGACCCCATCGTCGTCATCGCTTCCCACTGCATCTCAGCCACAGGTCTTCCAGGCTGGATCTAGCAAGCCTTTGCATAGCAGCGGAATCAACGTCAATGCAGCTCCATTCCAATCCATGCAAACAGTAAGTAGTAAATTAATATTGAATCCCTTTATTTTGGTAGTCATTCCTTGTGGTGTTATACAAACACTGGAATCAAGTCATGTAATTACGTAAAATAGTCTGGCTATTCACATTGCTTAGTCTTGCATGCTGCTTTACGTGATGCGATGAAGAATTGTAAAAAATGAATTGGACCAGAGAGCTATTTTTCTAACATTATAGGTATTCAACATGAATGCACCTGTTCCTCCTGTTAATGAGCCAGAAACCCTTAAGCAGCAAAATCAGTACCAGGCCAGTTATAACCAGAGTTTCTCCAATCAGCCTCACCAAGTAGAACAATCAGATCTTCAGCAAGAACAACTCCAGACAGGTAAACTTAGCAAGAACTAAAATGACAGTAGCTTCAGTAGAGCAGAAGATCAGGCTGTGAAGTCGTAGATGATTTAGCCAAACGTGTCACACATTCTCAAATGTTCCTAGTCTTGCAAAACTTTTGTCCTGAACAATACCAGGTTTTGTTATTTTGTCTCGGTTTGAATATGAACAGGGGGTGAAATTCAGTGTTTCTCTCCAACTGTTAAAAGAATTTTACCACTTGATTCAGTTTTATATGGGTTTTAAAAAAACATGAACAGAATTAAGGAATATTGTAAAGATGAGAGCAGTATAGTGGAGTACTTGCTCTGCTGATGTTAAAGTTGGATGATCCTTAAATTTGTTTGTAAAAAAAGGTTGTACTATTTGAGATTACATTTTAAAAAGAAATAATCAGATAGAATTGAGAGCACATATGGACTGCTTCTCATCAATAATGTGAGGTTCACAAAGATCTGAACCTTTCCCTAAAATCAGTTAGACATGGTTTGAATAGAGCAGACAAATAGAATAGTTTGAATAGAGTGACAGATACTTCTCAAGTTAGCAACTTTGAAAAAAAACTCCAGACAAACAGTAAAATGAAGTCTTAAGTACAAAGCTGCTCTTCTCCCAGCACTCTCCTCAGTTTCTACTGAGAAAAGATTTGCAAATACAGAGAGGGATTTTGAGTGGAGGACACAGGATAGAGGTGACAGGGATGAAGTGCTAACAACTACTGAAGGTTTAGTAAGGAAATAGAGAGCCTGATCCTTTCTTTCTGTTACTGATTATGATCTTGAATTTAGTCTTTCTTGCAAACCTGGGATACTGGAGTGGGTGGATGAGAAGAGGAAGAAGCAAGTTTTCATTGTATTATTTTTTCCAGTGTGTGTTGCTGATTTTTAATGCAGACTGTTATACTTCTTCTCCCCACTTCCAATACAGTGGTTGGTACTTACCATGGTTCCCCGGACCAGACCCATCAAGTGGCAGGCAACCACCAGCAAGCTCCCCAGCAGAATACTGGGTTTCCCCGTAACAGTCAGCCTTATTACAACAGTCGAGGAGTGTCTCGTGGTGGATCACGTGGGGCTCGTGGCTTAATGAACGGCTACAGGGGACCGGCAAATGGATTTAGAGGTAAACAGCTTTATTAAACTCTCTCATTTGACTTCTGCTTCTTTCTGGAAACGCTGTGTCAAGATAGCAAGTGTTAGACTGACCTACTGTTGTTTTTATACTGTAGTAATATCCCGGTAAGTTACTGAAACTTGTAGTAAAAATTTCATTTCCTTTAGCTAACTTAAGCAACTGAAATGTTAGGTGTTTGGTTAGGCCTCCTACTAGGACATAAACAAGCATTTTTTTCTGTTCTGTGCTGCAGGGTTAAGTGTTAGTTTGATTAGGCATCTACTGCAAGTACAAGCAAACATAGAAATAATCCTACAGAGTTTCACAGCCATCAAGTGAGCACTTCAGGTGCCAATTGGCATTTTAAAAATGTTTTTTATCTCCAGTAGAAGCTGTGTTTTAAAGAGTTCCATGTTTTGTATATTGAGAATAGGCTGGATAACTGTAGACATACAAGAACAGAAAAGTCAAAGTCTTTTTCCCTCTGAGGGAACTAACTGGAGTGAAGGAGTGGTACCATAGTTCTGGATAAATAAGAGAATTGTCATGATTGCTGGGGATGATTATATGTAGCTGTCAATGTTACAAAGTTGCATATGTTAGAACAGGGGAGAGACATAGTATCTTCTTCAGGTGTTAAGGGACTGGACTAATGGGAACACTGCAGCGTGCTTTTGCCATGTTCTCTTCCTCTCATGTGGTTGGACAGTAGAGGAAAAACCTGTATAACAAAAATATAACTGATTGTAGTAAGGAATGCAGCGGTCACTGTTTTTCTGCTTAAAATTGATTTGGATTCCAGGTGTTAAACCCTTGGGACTGAACATGGTTCAGTTATGGTTAGAACCTTGGACATGGTTCCCGGCACTCAGAAGAGCCTTGGCTCAGGAGCAGCTTTTTGCTTGAGTGGGCTGTTGTGTCCTTGCAGATCACAGCTGTTACACTTAGATTCTAGTATTATGGTTAGCACTGGGTTGAATGTTCTGTAAATCACACCTCAAATTACAAGATAAAAGCATTGGATTGCTGTCTCTTACTAGGTTCTTACTGTCTTCTTACTAGGTCTTCATTCTTGTTTCTTGTAGCAGTTTTAGCATTTATGTTGCAAACATTTGCTTGACTGGCAGGTAAAGAGTACTTGGTACTCAAATTTAGGTAAAAAAACCACAGTACTCTCCCAGGTTTAGATAAAATACTGCTTTTCTTTATATGGTAGCATGATATAATAGATGGTCGTTTCCAAGTGAAAGACTTGTACTGTGTTCCTTAGGAGGATATGATGGCTACCGTCCTTCATTTTCCAACACTCCAAACAGTGGTTACACGCAGCCCCAATTTAATGCTCCTCGGGATTATTCAAACTACCAGCGGGTAAGCTACCATTATGTTGTGACAGTCTAGAAGTAGAAGAAATAAGTATCTGCCAATGAAAGCACTCAAAACTTTTCTGAGGACTTTATTTCTAACAAAGGCAAAATATTTGGATACTATTTAGAAATAGCAGAATAGTAAATGGCTGGCTATAATTGGAAAATGTGGTCTCTTTGGCTGATTGATCTCTAAAGGAATCAGTCGAGTAACTAGAGTAAGGTTGAGTGAATTACGAAGAACTCTTTCTTAAGTGTAATTATTTTCACAGATTTGTGAGAAGGAAACTTAAAGAACTTCAATCCATTGAAATTACCTTTTCAGAATAATTTCAGATTGCCTATCTTCTGTAATGCTGATGTGTTACATAAATCTGCATTTTGTTGTTCTGAAGGAAGTACGCTCAGTTTGTTCAAAGCTCAGATTGACTGGAAAATGTCTAACTCTGCATATCTCCAAACATGTATTTATAAGGAAATGAGGTGACGGATTTTGATCCTGCTGATAGAATACTGCCTCATTTGTTGATGGGTCCTTCAGCAAATTCGTCTGTTTGACCTCTGTGTAGTTAGAAAAATTTGAACACTAAGTGCATCTGTTTAGGTTTCGTATATATTGAACAGTGTGTCCTGTAACTGGAGAATTTGTCATCATACATTTTATGGTACCTGCTAGGTACTAGTTAAGAATAAGAGTTTCTTTTTCTAAGAGTAATTTAAACTCTGCTGTATGTTGAATTTATAGGTGTTTTGTCAGTGCATTTTGTTTTAAAAGCTCCTTATTTTATTTGCAATTAATAGTTTCCTGAAACATAACAAAATGCCCAGGTTTTGTCATAACTTTTTTCATTTGTTTCCTTCAGGATGGATATCAACAGAATTTCAAACGTGGCTCTGGACAAAGTGGACCTCGGGGAGCTCCTAGAGGTAATTCCTGAGTAGTGAATAAATTATTTGGGCTGAATGGAAGGTTTTGATCCATTTCTGGAGTTCTGAATTTTAAAAAGCAATGTTGCTCCTTATTCAGCAGGTCACAGTTGAAGAATAAGCTTACTTTCCTCTGACCTGATCCTGCTTTTGAGCAGAGGTTGGACTTGGGGGACCTCTTGAGGTCCCTTTTGTCTTGAATTATGCTGTGATCCTTTGAACTTGCTGTGAGGTTTAGTTGGAGGTTGAATGAGGAATTTTTGAAAAGAAGTTACAATAACAGTTGCTTTTGACACTTTAAATGTAGCAGAAATTTTTAGCTGCCTTTTATGAATGAAAGTCATAGGAAAGTGATGGATTTTTTGTGAGGTTTATAATGACTTAGGATCTGCTTACGAAGTGCATTAGTTTTCAAGTAAGACTTGCTATTAAAGCAGACATGGAGCTTAAGCTGGTTGTAAGCCTTCAGCATTGTATGTGTTACTCTGTTGCACTAAAAGGTGTCCTACTGCATCTGCTGTGGAGATCCCTTGATCTAAGGATACAAAATTTCCCTCCATGTTCATCTATTCCTTGATCTTACAGAATTGTTGCTTTTAGCTTAGGGAGGTATGTTGTCCTGTAGCTTCATGTGAGTGTTTGCCACTGCTCGTCTATGAAAACAAAACAAAAAACCCCACATACGTGATGAGGCTGTAGTTGAACTTCGAAATACTATTTTCAATACTGTTTCCACAGGGAAGTCTTTTAGTACATTTTTGGTGATGAGACTGTCTTATGTCTCAATACAGACATATCTACAAGAATCTTAAGTTACCACTAGAGTGCCCTGTCAGTGAGGACAGCTCCAGGCTGCACATTGCGCACTGTCTGTGAAACCGCTGTTGTGTGTGGTAGTTTGATTTTGCAGAATTCTGTCCTTGACAGTCTTGGTACAGAAAGGCCAATAGTGTGGAACTGTGGCTTGAAGTTCAAGGTAGTATCAGGCTGTGGTGAAGCTGAGAGCGTGTTTTAGGCAGCATAACTATAACGAAGAAAAGACTTGACATTTGTTGTTGGGAGTGTACAGGCAGATATGAGAGGGATTCCCCAGGTGACCTACAGCTCTGAGTGTGAGCTATAGGCAGTTTCTTTCTTATTGAAGGAAGAATGGAAGTTAATGTATGATTAGTTAGCTCACAGTACTTAAGTCTTTTAAGTTTAATCTTACAGTTATATCTTCATGACTTGATATTTTTTTTTTTACTTGAAGTGATGACAGCTCTGTAGTTCTGGGGGAAAAAAGTATTGGGATAAATCTGAAAACTAAAGACAGATTACATGCTGCTGGTTTTTGATTTGAAGAAGCTTTTAGAACCATATGTAGTCTAGATACACACCTGAGAATTCTTACCCAGTTTAGACCAGAGCTTTTAGGATTTTTTTTTAAATAACTTGATTTCATGCATAATTCAAGTACTGTTTTGTGTGTTTTCTAGGTCGTGGAGGGCCCCCAAGACCAAACAGAGGGATGCCTCAGATGAATGCTCAACAAGTGAATTAAACAAATTCACAGGATTACGTTAAACGCCAAAAACCACACTGGCCAGTGTACTATACATGTTACCAGAAGAGTTATTATCTATTTGTTCTCCCTTACAGGAAGTTTGTTGTAAAGGGACTATTTTCATTACCCATAATGACAGGACTACAGTTGCCAGCTTTATATTACCTGGATATATGGAAAGGAACAAAACAACGTTTACTCTGCATGTTCTGTCCTAAGCATCATCTTGAGCCTTGCACATGAGATTCAGATTCCTCACCCTTGCTAAGAGTAAAGCAAAAAAGTCAACTTTCAGGGTGATCCAATCTCCATGGTTAACTGAAGTGGCAGGAAAAAGCAAAGACTCATTTCTGACATTTGAAAGTGATGTAACAAATTTGGATAAAATCTGCAAATTCGTAAAGATTTACTGTGGTGGCAGTTGACAAAACTTAATGTTCCCATGAAAGGATGGAAAAGATGAAGTGTGGCTTGGTAGAGCAACTGCATTTCAGCTTTTTCTTATTAAATTGAAGCACTGAACAGTTAAAGATGCGTAGTGATGCATATTTTCCCTAGACAAATAGGCTTATAGCCAGTTTTTGACAAAGAAGCAGCACCCTTAGCTACAGCACTCCTCGTCACCAGGTCCCTGTTTACTGTGGCTAAGGATTCAAGAACGCTTGCATAACTGCTAATGTAACTCTGTAATTTTTTAATTTTATTTTTTTTAAAAAAGAGCTTTGATTTGGCACTTCAAAAAAATTTTGCAACAAATGTGAGATATAATCTGGATGGCCACTGTATATTTTATGTGAAGTATTTAGATATCTCTTGAAACGCTTAAGTTTCTTTTGATAGCAATGACTTTTGTAAGGATTGGTATTCTCTATCATTCCTTATGACTTGCACATTGTCTGTCACTAATACTTGACCTTGCTGTACTATCACCTAAATAACTGATGCCGGTACTGATGGAAATCTCTAATGGATAATTATAACACTTTTGGTCACATGTCCTTTTGTCTTTCCTGCAGCCTTGAAGGTTTTAAGAAATCTCAAATGCCCGCTGCTGCTGCCCTTTTAATTGCTATCTTTTGAAAAGCACCAGTATGTGTTTGAATTGATTTCCCCTTTTAAGGGAAATGACAGCCAGCAGTTACAGTTCTAATGGTATAAGCAAGACAAATAAAACATGTTTATAAAAATTGTATCCTGGAACACTGGTTTTCAACGACCGAAACAAATTTAATGTAATGGCGTGACATTTCAGAAGGTTCTTTGTTGTTTGTTTGGTTTTTTTTCCCCTGATAGATTCTGTTTTTCCTGAATAGATGTAAACCCTCCTCCTGTTTTTCCTGATTTTATTCTAATAGCTGTGACTTCTTCTGGGAAACTCTTCTTTTTATGGACTTTCCTTTTCATCAAGGCAGCAATGTATAAAAGATACGGCATAAGACTAGGAGCTGGAAAATACCAAGTCTTATTCAAGTTTTACTACATACTTGTGGTATAATCTTTGAAAAAATCACTTGTGCCTACCTTTTGCGCACATGCACTCTCTCTGCAGTGGGGAGAATATGATAGCTGCCTCCATAGAGGTGTTGGTAGTTCTGTTGCATACTATAGCACGTGCAAGAAGAAAAGTGCTATATATGTTAAGTATTGCTCATCAAATAATTCCTACCTGTGGAAAGGTGACATTAAGGAACAGCTACATGTTGTTTAGCTGTTATACAAAACTGAAGATTGTTTTAACTCAGAGGGTCATTTCTACTTTGTATCACAACTGAACTTTCAGAACTTGTAGTCAGATATTTTGACTTGACTGTGAAATTATCTGAAACTCCATACAAATAGGTGGTAATATCACTTTTCCATGTTCTGTGTGAAGAGCACAAATGAGAAATGTTTTTGCTGAGAGAAGTGTTCAGCTTGTGAAGAAGATACTACATGCCAAACATCTTGAAACAATGCTGATGGCTCAAAGCAGCAGTTTTAGTTAAGGCCTAGAAACATTCCGTACCAATACAACAAGATAAACTGCAGTCCAGTGAGAAGTTGCTGTTCTGTGTCTTTTTTTAGGAAGCTATTATTGAGATAATAGTCCCAACTGTTTTTAACTGGAAAAAAAATAAAAAGACAAACCTTTTAATGTTGAACTGATATAGGAAGACTGAACATTCTTATTTTATTTTATTTTTTGGTGCATCAGCTTACTTCTTAAATGGTTGATAGAACACAAGCTATCCAGGTTTTTCCGTTGCACACCAAATGCTTCTTAAATAGCTAATTGTAGTTTGGCAGTAAACTTGCAGCATACTGAATTAAAGATCGCTGAATGGATCAGTACATTCCACTTAAAGTTTTGGGTTTTCTCTTTTTTCTGACTTTAAATTAATTAATAAAACATTGGGTAGTTGAAAGGCCTCTTAATTGGGATACAACTCTGTAAGCCTTTTCATGTATGACAATGGTCTTAGAGTAGCTGCTCTGCTGTATGCTGATAGAGGGGGCTGTGTTATAATAACCATCAAACAGTTACGTGAGATGTGTTTAATCTGGGAATTTGCACTGACTCCTTTACTCTCAATATGTGTCTAATAAACAGTGTACTGGAAAATTGGCTTGAGTCACAGTATGGCACACAGATCTGCTAACGTTTTCTGGCCTATTCAAGGGAGCTTAAGTATCTTCACTCTGTAACAGCTCCAGATCTGAGTTACATCCACATCACAGGCACTCCTAGATCTGTCTGTTGATCATATTTTGAACAAAGATCACAAATAAGTGATTGTATTGAGGCAAATGGTGGCAGTTTGGAACTAGTTCTGTTGCAGAGCCCTTTCTGGGTGTCTGGGAGTGAGCTGCATTTATTCTGGTTAGGTGCTGCTTTAGGATAACTGGCCTGATGCCTGTGGTTGGGAGGTGTGAGTGAGTGTAACAAAGGTGCTACTTCTGAGCCTGTATATAGACACAGCCATTGCACTCTTTGGTGGGTTTACTTGGTTCTTCTGTGAATCGGACTTTTGGGAGCATACCAGACTGGTTATGACTGCCACCTTGTATATATAGCTGCTATGAGGAGAGATTCTTATTTTGGCAGGGGCTTCGTTACTAATATTGCTAGGCTGTGGTGACATACAGTAATACATGTCTGAGAACAAACTTCTGGCTTCAGCATCTTACTTCCTCTTGACTGTAATACAAGGATTCTTGAGTAAATAATTTAGAAATCACTCAAGTTTCCAGATGTTCTACCTGTTACTGTGTGTGAGGAACTTGGATCCTTCCTAGTCATCCTACAACTTAAATTTAACTCAGAGCGCTAGCTATTATCTCATACCTAAGGTCAATGTTGTCCTGCATTTTACTTGTATCTTCTCCCTGTATTCAGAATAATTTATAAGTCACTCAAGTTTCCAGATGTTCTACCTAACGTTACTGTGCGTGAGGAACTTGGATCCTTCCTAGTCATTCTACAACTTAAATTTAACTCAGAGTGCTAGCTATTATCTCATACCTAAGGTCAATGTTGTCCTGCATTTTACTTGTATCTTCTCCCTGTATTCAGACTGGTCTTTTTAAGAACAGTTCACCACTATGACTTGGATTTTGTTATGGAAGGAGTTCTGGATTTCACTTAACCCCTGTTTTCTTTCTACGATACTGTCGTTTGTGTGTAGCAGTCTAAACCTCAACAACAAGAGTAGCTGGAAGAGTAATGTTGCCTTCTTGTTTATAGGCAGTTAATGTATTTTGCTGGGACTTTATAACTTTGAGGGAACTTCATGACCTTAAAATGTATCTTGTCAAAATGTCTTGCCGACCCTTACTTGTTTGATTAGGTTACAGATTGCCTTCATATGTGTCTTTGGAGAAAGGATTGAGCTTCCTTCTTGCCCTCAAATGACATTTTAGTAACTACTTTGGAGCGAGAAAAGTTACTGGAAAGGCTTCAACTCTAGACAAATACTGAAAAGATTATAAATGATACGGAAGAAGTGGTTAAACTTTGTATGATTAAAAACAAGTGGGACAAAAATCTTTGTGGTCCAGTAGAATGAGATACAAAACCAATTGGTCCGAAAAATACTGATCTTCCTATTCTTTTTTTTGAAGTTCTGGTACTGCCTAAGCTGAATAGTTGAATATTCTTAGCTCTTCTTTGCAAGAACCCTTCATTATAAATGCACATCTGGCATACAGGTGTTTGTGCTCAGTGGTAAAATTGTGCTGTATTCAGTTTTGTCCCATCCCAAGTCGCCTACGTATTCAAAGGGACATGAGAACTCTACTCATTAACCAGCCCCATTAATGAGGTGTCCAGTCACATCTTGAAAATAAAGATCATCCCTCTTGCTCATACAAAACTGTTCTTCGGGAAAGCATATGTGAAGAACTGAAACAGATAGCTGAAGATACAGAATTATAGCTGAAGTTGAGGTTTGTGACTATATTAAATAGACTGTATATTTGAGTCTTTTCAAAGCCATTCACCCATTTTTACAGTATCCCATCTGCATTGAATAGGGATGGGACTAGAAGGGCTTTTAATCGCTTGAGTTGGTACCAAGTTCTACAGATGGGATGGGTAAGTGTTCTCCACCACCGATTGACCAAAAAATCAGTACCTCATCTGAAGGGCAATCAGGAAATGATCCCGAAGAACAAAACTTTCCTTTTGAATTTAAGATTATTTCCTTATTTAAATCTGGGCTTAGCTGTGGTTATTGTCTGGAACTGTACTGGAAACTCAAGCATTGCAAATCTGTGTAGTTTCCCTCTAATTCTGGTTTTCTCTAAATTACAAAACTGGTTGAAATGCCATTGACTGTTCCATCACAGTATCAGCATCTGAGCATTTGGTTGGTCTCATACTAAACTGGGCTCCCACAGTCAGTGGCGGAGATTAACAGAAGGAGCTTTGACATGAACTTTAGGAAAATTCCCGTATTTAACATCCGATTAGCATACCTGATAGTCATGAAGAAGGCTAACCACATAATCTATGACATGTTTCTGTTTGGTCAGTTTGTTTTTGCCAGAGGGAAGGAGATTGAGAAGGTCCCTCTGACTTCCCGGTTTGCAAATACTGCTTGTTTTCACATTTGGATGTTCTTCATCCCTGTCAGTACATTTCCCAAGAGGAGAGGTTCAGTTGCTTTTGAGAACTGCTGCACCTGGCTGTTAGAACTTGAGGTTGCTCTTAAATTGTGTTAATGCTAAAGGGAAAGGAAATGTCTACGCTGTAGTAAGACTGTTAAAGAAACTTGATGTCTCTTCCTGTGAACGCAAGCTCCTGACCCTTACACGCTTCTGTCAAAACTTCATAGCAGCATCTTGGATTTCTGCCTCTATTCCTACAGGGTTTCAGAAACTGGGCATTGTTGAATTTTTGGTGTGGTATGGCAGAGAACTAGATTTTCTAAACAGTTTATTGAAGGGAAGAGGTGCTATTCTATTAACCACTTCCTTAGGCTTTTTGAATATAATGCAACTACAATTATATGTGGCTCTGTAGATCTAGCCTTAATGTAGGGAAGGGAATCTGTTTTCCAAAATCCACATCCTAAAGTGAGTTTGAGGGGTGCTTAGAACTGTATTAGGAAAACTTCAGCCTGTCTTGCTGCAGTTACTGATCCATTAATTTTAAAAGGTAGGTTCTGTTCCCCCCCCCTCCTTTTTAATGTTCATAAAGTAACCAGATGGGTGTAACTAGCTCAATTCCAACTATGGTGGTAAATTTCTCCTGTCTATAAAATGTGCTCAAATACCCAACAGTGGATCAAGAATGCACCTGAAGTTTTGGTATCAAGATAAATTGTAGTCATTATCCATAAAACTTTTATTAAATGAAAATGTATTTCCTTTTTTGAAGCTATTCAATCTTACAATAAATTTTAGTAATGCATCTACCATAGAAAATAAGTCTTCAGAGTTACATTTTAGTTGATTGTCAGATTTAAATTTTCCGATGGCCTTAAACATACCTGTATATATGTCTTTGCAGTTCTTTGACTCGACGTTTAAAACAAATTGGTCCATGGCTTATGTAAACACTTGAAAATAAATCTATTTAAATGTTTTACGTCCTTCCCTTTCAAGCAAATATTTCATACCTTATAGAATTGCAACATGGCTTCTCCCCTCGAATGGGGCACAGGTACCTGCTGGCTAATGCTTGCTGAGGCTGAGGGCA